AAGGGTCTATGGGAAGTCAGCTCTGTTCCGTAGAAAGATGTTCCATAAGTGCCAACTATTGAAAGGAAAATCTTGAGGAATGGCTCCACAAAGTTTCAGATGATACCTATGATGTGTTATCGACCTGAGAGAAACAGTTGAGGTGTTAATTAAGAATGGATCTCTGAATTTGTGGCTCTTTTAGCAGTTATCTGTAGTGATAAGATTAATGCAGTCCTAAAGGTACAACTCCGTACACTTCTGTTGAAGCATTTCTTGGTGCTCAGAAACTGTCACATGACAAGCCCGACTTTCGGAAATGAAGATGTTTCATAAAGCAGCGCTTGAGAGTTACTGTCTTGGCCTCTCTCGAACTGAACTAGCTTAGGCTGATAAAAACCTGTGCTACAAAAAATGCCTGTCTGTAATCATGGAAAATATTAGCAATACTTTCTCTTCAGTGGTGTGTCCTTTTGGGGATTGTTGTTTTTTTAAGTTATCTCCAAACTCAACGAGACTAAACTATCTATTTGTTTCACTGCAGGATCAGTTTGACAACTTAGAAAAACACACGCAATGGGGAATTGATGTTCTGGAAAAATACATCAAGTTTGTAAAAGAAAGAACAGAGATTGAAATCAGCTATGCAAAACAACTTAGGTAAGTTGATGTCTTCATTTCAGAAGGACATGAGTAATGTGGTGGGAATAGAGGTTGTTCGTAACTCTGAACAAAACCTTATGGTGGTTCTTTCAAAAGTTTATAATTGAATATTGACTTAATACAGCTTTGAAACTTTACTATGTAGAAGAAAAATGCTGCTTTTAACCATCTTAATTTAAATGAAACAAGCACAGAAACAGTTTCCTAATTTTGTCAAATCTTTTTTTAAACTTTATTTTTTTACTAGTTTACATTTAACACCGTACTGTACTGTATTTGCCCCCTTTTTTTGGGGGGGGTGGTCTCTGCTGCTGCCTGATTGCATATTTCCAGTTCCAAATGAGGTATGTGGTTGACCAGTCAGTTCGTAACTCTGGTGTTCGTAACTCTGAGGTTCTACTGTATCTAGTTTGCTTTCCTCTTTCCTTAGATCTCCATTTGCTTGGCTTACAAAAATCCTGTTTAGCAGGCGGAATGGGTTGCTTAAACAGTAGAAAATAAAAGTTCAAGTTAATTTCACACACTTGGAAACGGTTAGAGCAAATTCCTCATCAAAGTAAATGTGTTGTGTATGTGGCAAAGTAGTATCCCTAGTTTACTCATGGTTTGTGGTCTGAGTGCAAGGCTGTTCGTGGAACTTTGTACATGATAGTAGAGCAGGGGTAGGCAACCTATGGCACGCGTGCCAAAGGCGGCACGCGAGCTGATTTTCAGTGGCACTCACACTACCCAGGTCCTGGCCACTGGTCTGGGGGGCTCTGCATTTTAATTTAATTTTAAATGAAGCTTCTTAAACATTTTAAAAAACTTATTTACTTTACATACAACAATAGTTTAGTTATATATTATAGACTTATAGAAAGAGACCTTCTAAAAACGTTAAAATGTATTACTGGCACGCGAAACCTTAAATTAGAGTGAATAAATGAAGACTCGGCACATCACTTCTGAAAGGTTGCCGATCCCTGTAGTAGAGAGAGGCTGAGGAAAGGATGTACAGGGTGGTGAGAGTTCAGCCTTGAGGCTGAATCAAGGCATTGATTTGAATTCAATTGCTTGAAAATCTCATTAGCAGTCCAGGTGAAGTTTAAGCCTAAAAGGGCAGCAAAATTGTGAATGCTGTTTGAATGGTGGAACTCAGAAAAATCTCATGAGAACTTCCAGTTTATTGGTCAAAATTTCATGAGATCAGCCCTCCTAAGTGAATAAGTGGATGTATCTAAACTGGAACCAGAAAATAAGATCCTACCTGTTTACAATCTGCAGTGAACCTAGAGATTTAGATCCAAACTCTTCCCTACTCCCCAAAATTCAAAGGGATTCAAGTATGGGGTTCTGGCCTATCTCTAATACCAAGGCATAATACCCATACAAAGCTTGGGAGGTTTGTGGTGGTTTTGCTAAATAGCTGTGCTTGAGAGAAGATGACCTTTCATATCTATGTGACTTGCCATATACAAGGGCCTGTAATTGTATAATGAGCTGGTGTCTGGATAAAGCCCGTCATCTTAGGAAAGATAGAAAATGTGGCAAAAGACCACCTTGGCTTAACCATGAGATCTTGCATGATCTAAAAAATAAAAAGGAGTCATATAAAAAATGGAAACTAGGACAGATTACAAAGGATGAATATAGGCAAACCACACAGGAATGCAGGGGCAAGATTAGAAAGGCAAAGGCACAAAATGAGCTCAAACTAGCTAAGGGAATAAAGGGGAACAAGAAGACTTTTTATCAATACATTAGAAGCAAGAGGAAGACCAAAGACAGGGTAGGCCCACTGCTTAGTGAAGAGGGAGAAACAGTAACAGGAAACTTGGAAATGGCAGAGATGCTTAATGACTTCTTTGTTTCGGTCTTCACCGAGAAGTCTGAAGGAATGCCTATCCTAGTGAATGCTAATGGGAAGGGGGTAGGTTTAGCAGATAAAATAAAAAAAGAACAAGTTAAAAATCACTTAGAAAAGTTAGATGCCTGCAAGTCACCAGGGCCTGATGAAATGCATCCTAGAATACTCAAGGAGCTAATAGAGGAGGTATCTGAGCCTCTAGCTATTATCTTTGGAAAATCATGGGAGACGGGAGAGATTCCAGAAGACTGGAAAAGGGCAAATATAGTGCCCATCTATAAAAAGGGAAATAAAAACAACCCAGGAAACTACAGACCAGTTAGTTTAACTTCTGTGCCAGGGAAGATAATGGAGCAAGTAATTAAGGAAATCATCTGCGAACACTTGGAAGGTGGTAAGGTGATAGGGAACAGCCAGCATGGATTTGTAAAGAACAAATCATGTCAAACCAATCTGATAGCTTTCTTTGATAGGATAACGAGTCTTGTGGATAAGGGAGAAGCTGTGGATGTGGTATACCTAGACTTTAGTAAGGCATTTGATACGGTCTCGCATGATATTCTTATCGACAAACTAGGCAAATACAATTTAGATGGGGCTACTATAAGGTGGGTGCATAACTGGCTGGATAACCGTACTCAGAGAGTTGTTATTAATGGTTCCCAATCCTGCTGGAAAGGCATAACGAGCGGGGTTCCGCAGGGGTCTGTTTTGGGACCGGCTCTGTTCAATATCTTCATTAACGACTTAGATATTGGTATAGAAAGTACGATTATTAAGTTTGCGGATGATACCAAACTGGGAGGGATTGCAACTGCTTTGGAGGACAGGGTCATAATTCAAAATGATCTGGACAAATTGGAGAAATGGTCTGAGTTAAACAGGATGAAGTTTAACAAAGACAAATGCAAAGTGCTCCACTTAGGAAGAAAAAATCAGTTTCACACATACAGAATGGGAAGAGACTGTCTAGGAAGGAGTACGGCAGAAAGGGATCTAGGGGTTATAGTGGACCACAAGCTAAATATGAGTCAACAGTGTGATGCTGTTGCAAAAAAAGCAAACGTGATTCTGGGATGTATTAACAGGTGTGTTGTGAGCAAGACACGAGAAGTCATTCTTCCGCTCTACTCTGCTCTGGTTAGGCCTCAGCTGGAGTATTGTGTCCAGTTCTGGGCACCGCATTTCAAGAAAGATGTGGAGAAATTGGAAAGGGTCCAGAGAAGAGCAACAAGAATGATTAAAGGTCTTGAGAACATGACCTATGAAGGAAGGCTGAAAGAATTGGGTTTGTTTAGTTTGGAAAAGAGAAGACTGAGAGGGGACATGATAGCAGTTTTCAGGTATCTAAAAGGGTGTCATAAGGAGGAGGGAGAAAACTTGTTCACCTTAGCCTCTGAGGATAGAACAAGAAGCAATGGGCTTAAACTGCAGCAAGGGAGGTCTAGGTTGGACATTAGGAAAAAGTTCCTAACTGTCAGGGTGGTTAAACACTGGAATAAATTGCCTAGGGAGGTTGTGGAATCTCCATCTCTGGAGATATTTAAGAGTAGGTTAGATAAATGTCTATCAGGGATGGTCTAGACAGTATTTGGTCCTGCCATGCGGGCAGGGGACTGGACTCGATGACCTCTCGAGGTCCCTTCCAGTCCTAGAATCTATGAATCTATGAAACACTAATAGGATAATTCTAGTATCTAGAAGTGCAACTCTCCTTAGCTGCTCTCTCCTCCAATTGGTCAGCACTCCAGCCTGTCCTGGGGGCATTAAATGCTGCTCTGCTGGCTCAGTTCTGTGCATGCCAATGATATAATCTGCCTTCCTGAAATTAACCATATGCATGGAAGCTTATTTTTTCCCTTTTTTAATAATACATGGAATGCAGTGTTATAGATTCTGTCACCCATGGAAAATAAATGTGGCAATCACTAGAAGCTGCTAAAGAGATACAGGGATGGGGGAAATACCTCACAAAGTATTGAGGACAAACACCTTGCAAAAAGTGATCATCATCTTGAAGGGGTTTTAGATAAACTCTGATTGATCCACATCTAAATAATGCTTAGAAAGTATTTTTTCCTTTCATTTACTAGTATATATGTAGCGCATTAGGCAAATGTTAATAATTTAGGCCCCAGTCCTGCAATTCACTGAGATAGGTGTGCTGCTATGCCTGAGTGTAGCAAACAGCAGGATCAGGGCCCTAATGGTTAGTGAAGCCAGAAGATATTTTCTGAATGGTTTTTAGATTGGTAAAGCCCAAATGCTTTTGGTATTTATAAGAGGCCACTGTAAAACTATTATTATGTCATGATTATTTTCTCAGAACTGCCAATGCTTGGCATGAGGCTCCCTTTCAGTAAACTCCTGTCAATGAACTTGTGCTAAGATCCCATCTTGTGCAGTAATACTGAATGCTGGGAAGAATGCAAGTTCCCTTTGGAGTGTATGTTCCTGAAAACAAATGGACTAAAAAGCATTGTGTATTTTTTGTCCTTTGCAGGTACACATCATGCAAAGCCTTCCTAGCCACCTTGAATGAAATGAATGACTATGCCGGCCAGCATGAAGTCATTTCAGAGAACATGACTTTTCAGATCACTGCGGAGTTAACACGCTTTGTGCAAGAGCTGAAACAGGAAAGGAAATCGGTAATGGATTTTTTTTACTTGTTCACAATTAATTATCTGTTTAAAGCAGATGATTAATGGTAGTAGAGTTCAGTGGTAAATAAATCTTTTGACGGGAGGTTACCACAAAGCTACTAAACACAATCAAGGTTTGCTAATGAACTGAGCATAGGCACACAAAAAAAATGGGTTACATGCACAGGCCAAAGCACTGAACTGTTTGAATCAAACGTTATAGCATCAGACAGCAATGCCTGCAGGAGAACGTTCTCCAAATAAGGTCATAAAACTCATATGTGCTTGAGGCATCTTCAGCCAAAAAAACATGGTTTGTACAATAGTCTAGTGTTTAGCATGCAATAAACAGAAATGCTTCATCTCAGAGACTAGCTGAAAGAATTTTGATCGGTGAACTGGACCACTGTCCCTTACCACTTGCTAGAGCTGGTTAACAAAACTTTGTCTAAAATTGTGGTTAATAAAAAATAGGTGTTTGGAGTTTTTTATGCAAATTTTTGTGATGGGGGGAATCCGTTTTTTGACTCAGATTTACTCCCACTCTGCTAAAATTAGCAAAGGTGTGTGCTTGTATCCGTTTCCAGGTAGTAGCTTATGCATCCATGGTCCTTATACAGTATGTGTCCATATCTGCTTTTCTTCTGCAATGCCTGGAATTTAGAAAGTCAGATAGCTAGGGCCTGGTTCTCTCCTCTTTTACCCCTTGTGTAGACGTTCACCGCTGTGCAAAAAATGCTAAAAGATCATAGTTCTCCAGATGGCAGTGTTTGCACCCACTTTGCACAGGTAAATATCTACACAAGGGGCAAAGCAGGGGAGAATCAGGTCCCAAGATTTCATTTTTAAAGAACTCTAGATAGCTAGCAAACTAGGGGTCCATCCTGAAAAGTGCTGAGTGAGGGTTGCCAACCTTCCAGGATTGTCCTGGAGTCTCCAAGAATTAAAGATTGGTCTTTAATTAAAGATTATCATGTGATGAAACCTCAAAGAATACGTCTAACGAAAACTGGCAACCCTATTGAGTAATGGGGCCCCCAATCCATCAAAGCACTTAAGCACCTGCAGATAGTCCCACTGAAAGTGCGTTGCTTGGTTGTGGCCCTGAAAAGCATCATCTGCTTAGTACAGTACTAGGAGGATGAGAAGTCTGCCTATTGTGATCGTATATCTTGGCACGCCTTTAATTTGCAGAATGTCACAGTCTTCTAAGGCCATTATGCCTGACCAGTATTAATAGCGTGGGGTATATCTACACTGCAATTAGACACCCGTAGCTGGCTCAGGCTTGCGGGGCTTAGGGTGACCAGACAGCAAATGTGAAAAATCGGGATGGGGGTGGGGGGTAACAGGAGCCTATATAAGAAAAAGACCCAAAAATCGGGACTGTCCCTATAAAATCGGGACATCTGGTCACCCTAGCGGGGCTGCTTAACTGTGGTGTAGATGTTTGAGCTCATGCTGCAGCCTGAGCTCTGGGACCCTCCCTCCCATCCTAGAGCCCAGGCTCCAGTCTGAGTCTGAACACCTACACCTCAAATGAAAAGCCCATTAGCCCGAGTCAGCTGGCACTGGCCAGCCGACGGTTTTTAATTGCAGTGTACACATACCCATGGAGGGTACTTTCTATATAGACCCCATGTGGAAGATCCCTCAACCACCTCCATCACCTTTCGTCCAGCATATCCATGTGGCATTATTTCACACTTGCTCGCGGTGGACTTCCTGCTGCCAGAATGATAGAGTGTATCATTGCTGGTGCAAAAAGCAAACGGAGGGAATGGACAGAGAGTCAAGGGAAGAAAAGAACATACCAGGCCAAAGAAGGAAGCATGCTAATCTAGTATTCTTCTGTCACTTCAAATGTTTCAGCCCATAATTGAGGGGGAATTTTTTTTTTTTAACAGAAAGATCCTGTCAGTTAATTAAGGCAAGACAGCTGGAACATGTGTCAATTAAAACACATTTCTGTGGGTGTTTTATAGCAAAAGGAAGTAGGATTTGGTATCTTTTTCTTGTGAATAAAGTGACTGGTATTAATGTGTAGTAAAAGTGAAATAGATACACTGTAAATGTGTGATGCGTGAGTGAAAAGTAAGTCATTTGTGTCATTCTAATGAGATCCAATGCGGAAGCCAAGTTCAGACAGCCTATTGGGTCTATTGACAGTAGCTAATAGCAATGATGGCATAGCAGACAGTATGTGACAATAAAATTTACTTGCTGTTGCTGGTAGCAATGGAAGACTGTGATCCACCGTTGTTGGTTTGTGTCTGTCTCATGAATGTAGAATGCCTGAACTGTTGAGTCCTTGTCTGATTTGCATAGCTTTCATATTGATGAGTAATATTGAAAAGCAAGCTGCTATTTCCCTTCAGGCTATTTTCAGACATGTTGTACATCTCTCTGTTGTTTCTTGCTGTAAAACATAAATAATGCATCACTCACACTGGGCTTTGTAGGAGGGGAAAACTGTTGGTGTGATAAATATCACAGAGGTTTGATATTCTTGCAAAAACATTTATGATACACACTCATGAATGGTTCAGGATTTCTGGAAATATTCTGGGGAGGGCTCTGCCCTCTGTTTGGTATAAATATATAATTAGACCATGTGCTATAAATTATTATAATGATAAACTATGAGACACGAAGGATGGTCCAATGGTTCGGTCACTAGCTTAGGGTTCGGGAGACATAGGTTCAAGTCCCTGCTCTGCCCCAGACTCTTAGGTGACCTTGGTCTCTCTGTGCCTCACTTTCCTATTTGCAAACTAAAGAAAATATCACTGTCCTACCTGACAGGTGTGTGTTGAGTATAAATATATTTTAAAAAAATTGTGAAGTGTTCAGATAATAGAGCATTGGGGTACAGATAAGTACCTTAGATGGATAGAAATTAATGTTTGTAAAGTACTTTGAAAATAAAAAGGGATTATTAGTATTACATTGTGGATATATTTATTATTAATTTTATGACCTATTCAGAAAATATTGATACTCAACATTTTAAACACCCGTGGCTTGATTCACCAGTGTTTCACTCCAGCTTCATGTTGAGATAACTCCATCGATTGAAATGGGTTGCACCAGTATGAAATGGGAGTAAAGCAGTAGTGAATCATGCTCACTATGTTCTCCCTTTCTAGCGGTGAATTTCACCCATCTCCAGAAGGCCAGCACGAGGCCTATACCTCCAACTACACAACATAGGGCTTACATAGTGTGTGGGCTCTGTGCTGGGTGAATTTCACCCTGTGTGGTGTTTAAAAGTATTACTGGGTTTGTTTGACTGCTGTGAAGGATGAGGTAGGTGAGGTAATATCTTTTATTGGACCAACTTCTGTTGGTGGAAGGGACAAGCTTTTGAGCTTCACTGATCTCTTCTGGCTGTGAAAGATACAGTTAATGTCTGCATAGATAATACATTGCAGATTGGACAGTTGCTACTAGTGAAAGTATGGGGAGAGGCTTTTGATCCAGTATGGCAGATATGTCTGGAGGCTGACAGTGGCCATGCAGTTGATTGATGTACTTTGTGCTGCTTCTGTCTTGGCCTGGTTTGGAGCTCAGTGAGAATCCTGGCTGCCTTATGTTTTTATAGAACAGATCACATGCTTTGGCGCATGACCTTCTGTCAATCACGAGGGAGCTGTCAGAAAAATCAGGCAAAGATTATTTTTGTGAAATATAAATATGTTTGGCGGCAAAGGTCAATTAGTGCTTTTAATTTTGTCACATCATGCGTTCCACTTCGAGTCTATTTTTGGTAGTAAACTCACTTGTTTGCATCTGATGGACTCCATGGTACTGGTGCTGGAGAAGAGTAAATCATTCTGAGGGATTCTGTCCCCTTTATTCACACTGAATAGTACCTTACTCTTCAAGCAGTCGTACTAATTTCAATGGGAGTTGTCATGGAGTAAGGCAGTACTCACTATGAAAAAGGGTGGCAGAATCTGTCACTAATAGAGTGCTTATTGGCTTTCACACATTCACATGCGTTATTTATGTTACGGAAGGGCCTAGAAGCCTCAACCATTGTGCTGGGGGCTGTACAGACGCATAGATAGAGACACTCTGTCCCAGAGAGCTTGCAGTCTAAATAGCCAAGACAGACAGAGTGGGTGGGGAAACAGAGGCACAGAGGGATGAAGTGACTTGCCCAAGGTCACCAGCAGGTCAATGGCAGAGCTGGGAATACCCAATCTCTAGAGTCCCAGTTCTGTGACCTGTACACTACATTATGCCTCTATAGGATCTATGGACACATGTTTTCAATCCAAATTTTTAATTGTCAAAGTTAAAAATAAAGTTTATGTTGCCAGGTAAAAGCTGCACAGGAGTCATTCATTAATGTAATGAAAATTTCCAATTAACTATGGAAGATTCTAACAAGCTTAACGAAGACATTATACAATAATACAATTTTATAGTCATCATGTCTTTCATACAAAACACAGCTCCAAATGCTTTACAAAACTAAATAGTACTATTAGAAAGTTAAGTAACAGCAGAGAAAGAAATGAAGAGATAGGGGCAGTAAAGAAAAGATATTTTTAAGGATCATGATAATAAATTCTATTTATTTATCTACCTCTTTTCCTCCTGAAGATTCCCAAACCTTATTGCAAACTTAACAAAGTGACATACACAATTATATATAGGGATCATGCGACCAATTGTGAAATGCAGGCAGCTCTGGAGCAAAACATGACAGCAGTTTGATACGCAAGGATACTCAACGTTTTAGGATAGGAAGTGAGGAAGAACACCATATCCTATTGGAAAATACAGGGTTAATTTAGGTAGGCAGAATCTAGTTAACTGGTTTAGAATTTGGTTAGGACATTGGTGTTAATATCCCTTCTCTTACTAAAAGTGTCATGGGAATTTTTAATGACCACAAGTGCTCAGAACTATCGTTTTATGTCTCATCTGAAAGCTGAGATTTGGAAAGCGATGGAGTATCAGTGAGGCAGATAGCTGTAGAAAAGTTAGTAAAA